CCCCCCGCGACCCTGAAAAGGATAAGTGAATGGATGGATGGATGACTGAAGGGTACCAACAATTTTGTAAACGTCTGCAGATGCTTACATTAAACATACCCAAAGTTTGAAAAAGGTTGCTGAGCATACGGACAAGTTATCACTATGATCAAAAGAAAAGGTGCTCTGAATGCTCGATATCAGGTGTGTTTCTTTCTTTTCTTTCTACTACTGGCTAAAAACATCTTTAATATGGTCATTTGAGTAATGGCTGTGAGGACAAACCTGCTGTTTAGAACTTTTTTTTATTTGGACGAGCCAATCAGAAGAAAGAAGACTTAAAGGGAGGGAGCTAAAACAGCTTCTTTCAGAGGATGGTGTGAAGAGCTGCACTAAGGCTCAGTATAAGACAAAGAAGATGTTTTTTTTCTTTTAACTGTGAAAAAAAAAATACTGAGTTGGACATGAGCGTAGGTTTCCAGTAACTTTTTACATTGCCAATATCTTATTTTGTAAGCGATTCTACTTGAGTTTTGTTAGCTCGAAGATCTACTTCAGACATGACTGAAGATTTACCTCTTCTTGGATAAAAAACAAAGCCCAGAGTAAATGACTGGGCTGGAGAGCTGTTAAATGCCACCAACACCTCCTCCTTTATCTGAAAAACCTACAGCGATCACCTCCCAGTGTTTGGACTCCCAGTTATCTTTTGGTCCAGGACCAGCTGTGAGCTCATAAACTCTGTTCAAAGTATGAATTTCAGGGTGTTAAACTCTGAACCACCACCGTTAAATCAAATAATAATAATAATACTGATATCATGTTAATCATACACAAGTAGTAATACCATAAATTAGTATGTTGGTGCTCGTTTTGCCATGTTATTGTCCCAGACTCTCTGTCCACCTGCCTAAACACATACCGTGATTTGCTATAAAACATATAATAGGCACAGTCAAAGATAAATGCAGTTATGGAGTCTTCTGAGTCATAGAACCATGAAAGTCTATCATTGTGAACCTTTGTTGCAGGCTGAATGTCAAACATGCAAGAGTAGTTTTTTTTATGACAGCTGAAGTTGATCATTACATCAGGTCCTTCAGACTTTTTAGCCGTGCATACATAAAATCTGTAAATTCTTTCACATGACTCGTGTTCACAAGACTGCATACAGCATTTGCTCCACCTGACACTGCATGGCCTGCAATAAGTGGCTATGTGGAATTTTCATCTCTCCCCAGTGCTGTCCTCAGGTAAGTCTCATATTCAATCATCAGTTTTACTTGATACTTTTTAGATGCCAGTTTACATAGAAGTTTAACTGTTTATTCATTCTACAAACACCTGGGTATTTACAGTATGTGCTTAATTGATGTCAGCTGATACAAATGCAGCAGTTTAAACTAGAAACCCGTTTACTGTTAACCTTGCAATGTAGAGCACCACAGGATGTGGTGATCGAATGTACTTTATTAAAGTGCATTATTAATGTACTCTTAGTTTATTCAAGTATTTCTATGTTTTCGTGTTTTCTCCTACTGCTGTTAGTACTTTTGCTTATACCCCACTGCATTATGGGTATAGATATTGTTCTTTGGACTCCATACCACTTATTTTAAAGCTTTAGTTGGTTATTCTTGTCGTAACAGATCTATTTTACAGTCATGTGAAAAAGAAAGTTTTATGTGCACCCAATGATTCGATAACTTGTAGAACCAGTTTTATCAGCGATTACATGAAGTAACTGTTTTCTGTATTGCTTTATCAGGCTGTCACACTGGAGGAGTTTTCATTAATGCACAGCACTCTTAAGGTGGCACCACAGCATTTCAGGGGTGCTGAGGTCTGGACTGAAATAACTGGGTCATTGGAGCACATTCATTATTTAGTTTTCCAGCCGTTCTGTTGTAGATTTGCTGCTGTGTTTGAGATCATTGCTTTCTTGCACGAGCTGATTTTGGCTGAGCTTTAACTTGAAAACTACCCTCTGAAAACTTTTCTTTTTTCATGTGACCTTATGATCCTGTGGTGGACTAGTTTCTGCAGGCACCTTGTTGGCCAACAGCACCTGAAGCAGCCATTGTTAACACGGACCCCACCCAAACCTGAACTTGCTTCTGCTGCATGTTAACATCCTGTTAAAAGGGAGTTTTCCTTCCCACTGTCGCCAGGTGCTTGCTCATAGGGGATACATATGACTGTTGGGATTTTCTCTGTATTATTATGGGGTCTTTACCCTACAACCATTGTTGTGATTTGGGGCTATATAATTAAAACTGAATTGAATTAGGGACATCTCTGGGGGAAAGCCAGCTTGTGCACCCTTGTGGCAGGGCTGGTGTAAAACGTTTTCTACACTTTTGATTTCAGATAAAATATTTAATGCTTTTTACTTCTGTTTCAAACGCTAGAGTTATATTACAAAAGACTACAACTCCCACTTCCGCTTAGCCGTCATATGACGACTGTGTGTTTTGTCATGTGACCCTGGCGCTGCTATGTCAGTCCTCCGTTTCCCTTTTTCGCAGTGTCGCAGGCAGCAAACCGAAAACAGTCAGTTTCTGTCCGAAACGGCCCAACACACCTTAGACCCGTCCTGTAGCTGGTTAGAAAAGACACTCCGGTTCGTGCTTGTCGCACTTTACCCGTGTATTTGGCTGTGTGCAACTCCTACATGTCAGAGTGGTAGACTCACAGCTCTGCAGCTTACCGGCAGGCCTCGCTGTTCACCGACTAAGCATCAGTCCTCACGCCGCCCTTGGGTGGGTCCGGCTCGGCCAAAGAGACAGCATGGTCCCGGTGCATCGCTAGCCTCTTGTGATTAAAGGCGACATCAAGGGATGAATGGTATCAGTGGGGAAGTGTTTAGCTTGGATGCTACTGGAGTCTGTTTATAAGGATGAACGGTAAGATTTGCTGTTTCACTGCTTTCTGTTTCTTATCCATAAAATCACAACATGTCAAATCACGCCTGCAGGAGATTGCTCAGAAACTTAGTGAGACTTTCTAAGTTTCATTTGGGGGCCTTTTAGTTGGTTTCCATAATGTCTGATATTGTTCGACACATGGCTTTCCCCCCTTTTTGCTAGCTTTGTTGAAACGATAGATCGAGGTCAAGAATGCTCCAGGAAAACGAAGCAGTTCCGCACAATGTAAGTGGGGTTTCTCAGGAATGAAAGTGTTAAAACTGTCTTATTTTTGCAAATGTTTCCAGTGTGTAAACAACTGGAAACCCCATAATGCTTAGGCCAGCTGTGACTGAAAGCTGGAAAGCACCTAATAGTTTTTATATGAGGGAAGTATGCTTGAAGTCTCTGGAAAGCCTTGAAGCTTACGGTAAGAGGTGTGTGTTTAACAAGCTCCTGGCCTAAATTCACAGGTAAACAAGCTGGTGGATGAAAGTAACTTAAGTCCCTTTGCAAACTCACAGGTGCTCCAGAGGAAACACATGACCGGGGAGCTGCTCCAGCGGGTTGGCAGCTCTTCGATGACTTAAAACCTTTGAGACAAGGAGCATCATCATTGCCATTGTGAATATGCTGTCTGGGCTGCAGGGTTAATGATTACTAATGTTGATTCGTCTGCTATTTTTTTCTGGATAATTCACTCAGCCCATAAAATGTTAATATAAAACATTGTTCCACAGTGCTTCTAGAGGTTAAAGAATCCTCACAGTACCCTGTAATATTAATGTCCATAGGCGCTTCCTGTCGCAGTTGGAGCTCAGCAGTCCTTAAACGCAGAACTTTGCAGTCAGTTTTGATTATTTATGTTGATTCCGAGCAGCCATTACTTGCCACACAACTTCATTTCCTTCTTCATTGTCATGAATAATGAATGGAGTAACGATAAATGATGGGAAATTTAATCTGTGGCAACGTCATTTTCCTCATTCCTCTTGTTTTTGTTTGTGTTACCCTCCGCAGGCACCCAGCAGACTGATACAAAGAGGCAGAACCTCCTGGAGAGGCTGCTGGATGCTGTGAAGCAGGTGAGCTACCGGTTATCTGGACGTTCTTTATGCTGGAGACGACAAATTATCATCAGTGCTGCAGTCCACATAGACTGAGCGAGGTTTAATAATTTTAAGCCTCTGCTTTTATGGTCAGGAAATCAGCTCACATTAAATGTGTGACTGGTTGTGAGTGATCTTTTCTTTGGAACAGGCTTTTTTTTAATTCCCGTCAACATTTTTGTGGTGACTGAATTTGTTACAGTTCCTTCTATCTCCCTTTCTATAAACACAATGGAGGAAGTAAAACCGAGTTCTGTTGACGGCCTCTGTAACCCAATATTCTGTAGAACAAAGTTAAAAACATGGGTAGAGTCCTACCTAAAAGAACACAATGACCATGAATACAAACCCCATTCCAAAAAAGCTGCGGTTGTTTGTAAAATATGAATAAAGACAGAGTCAAACCTAGGATGCTTAATTGAAAGTAGTTGAAAAATATATACCGTAATTCCCGGACTACAGAGCGCACCTGATAAAAAGCTGCATGCTCTAATTTTAGAAAGAAAATCAATTTTGTACTTGTACAGGCCGCACCCGATTTTAAGCTGTATGCGTTTCACTCGTAATATGAGATATTTACACAGAAATATTACACGTGAGGCTTTTTAATGTTTAATTTAATCCGTAAGGTAACATAAACGTTATGCTAACATACAAAAGTACATACTGCAAATGCTTTTTTTCCTTGAACAGCGCTACCTTTAAGTATACATACCTATCAGTAACACACAAATTACGTTGCTTATGGTTTTTTTATGGAACAGTGCACAAACAACATTACAACATCTCTTAACAACCGGTAAAAATATATACCGAATATATACTACTTATCAATTTTATTGGTCTACTGTTACCAGGCAAAATGTTTTTGGCTGCATGAAAAAAAAAATGCATTAGCTGCACGTCAGTATAAGCCGCAGTGTTCACAGTGTGGGGAAAAAGTAGTGGCTTATGACCCGAAAACTACGGTACACGTTAGGGCTGTGCGATATGACCAAAATCTCATATCCCGATATAAGAATTCTATCGTCCTGATAACAATATAAATCACAAAGATGTAACATTTTCTGTAAATTCTGTGAATCTCGGGCAGCTCGTCTTGCGGGAAGTGTTTCCAGCTGCGCATCATGTAGCTGGAGTCGAGTGTTTTAACAGATGCATGAAACGATACATTTTTAGACATAAGTTGTAAAGGCCGCTGTTTTCTTTGTGAGTATTTATAACACGGCGTGCTGCGGGGAAAAGCCTGTTCTAACGTTTGAGTCTAAGGTTTATTTTTTAGCACCTGGCAGCTCTTTTTTAATTCTCATCCGTGAATAATCTGCTCTTTCACGTGATTCAGTTTATTTTGAAAAGTCTCAACAGGATCTTGAGCTTTATTGTGAAAGGTTTATGTGGAACATAAACAAGCGGACACGCGATGCTGTTACCGTCGTTGTTGCTAACCACAACGCATAAAAACAGGCGCTTGTCCGTCTGTAGTGTGGTTATATTAAATATAAGAGAAAGAGAGAACTTTAAGAAGTAATATAGCCACTACAGTGACCATCAAAACCATGAAAAAATATTGCCGTAAACAGTTTATTTTGCGACACCAGGAAACAAACGATAGCGCAAAATGAAACGATAGATGTTTTTATATCATCATCCGATATATATCGTTATATCGAACAGCCCTAGTACACGTTTTGTATTAAATGCCAGGAATCAGTTTCAAAAAGCTGGCACAGGACCAGTAAAAGACTGAAAAACTCTCACAAATGTGCATTAACTCATTAACGTTCGACTGCAAGTGGCTCTATTTTTGTTCTGTTTTTACTCTAGTGTGACTAAAATGATCGGTGTCTTTCATAAGTGAAGATGTAGGAAGCTTCTCCACCCTGTTCATAGTTATTCCTTATTTTATTTGGTGCCACATATGGTGCCGTCTGGGCGAGGTCTTTGCCAGAGAAGGCCGTACCTGTTTGACTGACAGTGCCAGATCACGTCCTCCCTGTCTCATAACAGCAGGGCTGCACAGTGTGGTTGCATTTAAAACATGTCAGTTTAGCAGCTGAAGTCCCACATTAAGCAAATATATGGAAATGAAATATACTGTTTCACTGTCTACACAGCAGCTGCTGCTCTCAATTCCGAAATGGGTGCGGAGTGTTTTTCGATTTTTATCTATACCTTACAGAGTGTTTCAACTCATTTTGACACGGGATACTTTTTAACGTCCGAGGAGAAAAAACCCCTTAACTCTTATGCTACTGGATCGGATTTGGCTTGATGCTTTGAGGGAAGATGAAACTGCATGTACGGTATCGGAGCTGGGCTGGACTCTGACACTGTGTCAAATGTAAATATCAAAACTGAGACCAGTGCTGCCAGTCAGACAAGCTTCCTTCTCAGGTTTGCAGCACCAGCCAAGCCCCTACAGTCAGATCAGAAACACAGTTTGACCTTTAAATCATTTTCTGTAATTCCTTTATTTTGTCTGTAACCTTGTACGGTAACCACAGGCCAGGAGATGTAGCACAGATACCCTCCGTAGTGTCCGTAGAGGACTAAAGGAGGACCCGATCTGCAATTTAAGGCTTTGAAAGGTGCTGCTAGACTTTTTTTTAACTTAGCAGACATACATGAAGAAAAAAAAAGCAATTTCCTCATATCTTCCCAGTGCCAAATCCGCTTTGGAGGAAGAAAGGAGATCGCCACAGACTCAGACAGCAGGTAAGATAAGCTGCCTGTTACCCAGAAATTCTTTTGCTTTATCACGATGGTTATTTATCATTCTAAAAGGTGCTTTGTTTTACGTGTGGAGCTCCAGGTCATAGATGATGTAGTGCTTTAGGCTCCAGTATGTGCTCGCGCTACCTCCAGCTTTTTCAGTGCAGCGATCTGGCTGTACGCCCAGCTTTGAGGGTTACTTTCTAAACAGCAAAATCATTTTTTTAGATGGAAAATAATTGTTGGTTTTTGTTGTTGTTGTTTTCGGTCTGAGAGCTTTAGCAGACTTTCCATCATATCCGAGCAGTGAGAATGTTCTCCTTTGTGATGTTAATGGTGGCTATATAAGAAAAATGATGTACCAACTTTGTTTCATTAGAGCTTCACGCTGAGAGAGAATACTATTGATTCATGTTCTGTGCTGCTCAGATCTCATTTTCAGCTCTGAGTACTGGTTTTTAAGATTCAATATTATGTCCGCCTTGTAGATGAAGAGCATTTATAAAAGACTGGTTAGTGGCACTAATGCACCTGTTTTTAAAACTGCGTGCTAGTAGTAGGATGAATGACCTGTCTCCTCTCGAGGTCAGAGGATGCTGTAGCCACGACTTCCAAAAGGAATTCGTTTTTACTGTATGGTCCACAGTATAGTTTTCCACCTCTCCTCAGTTCATCTTAAAGTTGGCGACCAGTACCGTGATGCATGGTATACCCAGCAGAAAAGGACCCCCCTCCCCGCCATCACATCATAATAGTAGAGCTGGAAAAAGTGTGTGGCGGTGACCAGCTGGTTGCAGCACAGACGGCCCTTTAAATGTAAAACTGTGATGTTATCGTGCCCCTGCTCGAATGTGCCTTCTAACTGTAAAAAGTGAGACCCTGCCGCTGCCAGCCAGGCAGATGGCCTCCACAATCCAGTGAGAGGGCCTCTGCTTACAGAGAACTTTGCCTCTGGCAGAACTAACAAAACAGAAAAACACACAGTCAAAGTACATTCAGTATACAGGGAGTGCAGAATTATTAGGCAAGTTGTATTTTTGAGGAATAATTTTATTATTGAACAACAACCATGTTCTCAATGAACCCAAAAAACTCAT